CTACACGTGGAGTAATCTCTTGAGGAGCATGGTTCTGTAAGCATTGCTGGTGTGGACTTTTTTTAAAGGCAAAGCATACGTACAGCGGACCTTGTTTATACCTTTTACGGTTGTATTTATGGCAATAAATTACCTTTTGAGGCTAATCTGTTTTGAAGAGTTTAGCCATTCCAGTTGAAATGATTAACAGTCTAACAGGATTAGATACAGTGAAATAGAGGAAGGCAGGTTACCAACAGTCACAGCAATTCCACCACAATGTTAATGGCCAAAGCTAACAGGGAGGAGGTGAAAAGGAAGGATGATGAGCAACATAGCACCATTTACCCCTTCTTATTCTGCTCCCTTACCCTCCAGTCTGTCCCCGATCCTAGGTACAAGCACAAAAGCAGCCATGTAGATGAAATTTTTCTGGTATAAATTTGTGTAGCTTAAACAAGCAGCTGACTAGTTGTCCATGTTCCCATGTATCATGCTCTTAATGCTGAATATATGCTGTGTGATAATGATAGGAGAGTCACACCACAGCTTCTGTGGGAAATAACCGCAGTGGTAATGTTAGATTTTTCAGAGATGCCTACTAGAGGTAGAAAGATAAATCTTTTGAAATTATGGGAGACTTATTTGAAATCCACTGGAAAATACAGGACATTCTGAGCAAAATTCTGTCTGAGAAATCGGTGGGAATATTGCCATTTGAATGGGACGAAAATCTCAGCAAGGGACATAGACATAGCTGATCTTGTCACATGAGATCCCAAAATGGAGTCTAGCCAAATTTTTTAAAAATAAAATTTTTAATTGGCTTCACAATTTTTTTTCTAAACTTAAAATATTCCTTTCTCTATTTTTGAATTTCTTATTAGTACATGGTACAGTACAGTTACTTTATTTGTAATTTAAGCAAAATAAAGCTTTCAGTTATCCAGAGCCCAGAGATGTCCTTTAACACAATCATTTCCTTTCCTTTATCCAGATGCTACGTAGGTATTGTGAAACTCTCTGCTCTATTATAGGGCTGCGCGATGTACAATATAGTTTACATTATTCTGTTAATGAGTTAGCATTTTTTACATTTTTGTTATAAAAGTGCATATCATAGGGTCTTTTATCAAAAGTGAATGTGAAAGTACATGCTTTGTTGTATGTTCATCTGTAGCAGTACTTCTGTTTTAACGTTTATGCTTTATTTTACTGTTGTTTTTAGAATTAAAAGCTTTAAAAAGATTCTGAGTTTAAAGCCTTCTAACTAGAAATGAATGATGAGTGACCATCAGCAAGCTTGATGGATTTATAGCCTTCACCACTGACATGTCCTTAGGTAGTATTCAAATTCTGCTGAAGATGGGTGACGTGGACAGTGGCATGGAGTGCAC